AAAATTGCCGGTCTTGCCATTCGCTCGGTCGCAGTTTAGTCGGGAGAATCTGACGTATTGTTGCACCTTTAAAAATGACCCAAACACGTAAGTGCATCATAATGTTTGTTTTATTGAAGTTTTTTACTCAAACTGCATTAAAGAAATTGTTTTCTTTGGCTATGCCTTAGTGTACAGTGTACAGTGACGAGTTAAATTTGAACTTTATTTTTGCAGATTTAGTAATATTTTTAAATTCAATTTATAAAAGTTTAGTAATTAATATTTCTGTAATATGATATACATACATATCTACTTTTATACCAAATTTTTAATTTATTTTACTTTATTCAAGAGCTTGTATAAATATTGTAGGCGATATTATTGCTGACCATTTCAATGTTATTACTTAATAGTATAATTGTTTATAAAGAATGTAAATAATTAATAGCGTTTTTTGCGTAGTACATTACATGAATAGTAGTTAATATACAGTGAACATATAACTAATACAAAATATAACTAAATAAATATAACTTAATATACAGGGTGCTACAAATTCGAGGTACGAGCATTGGTATCTCGGAAACCGTAATAGATACGAAGATAGTTAAATTGGGGCAAAGTTGTGCCTTGGGATGTTCACCAAAATGCCATCAAAAAACTTTCAAAAATTTCAAGGATTGCTGAGTTTTTTTGGAAAAAGCGGACTTTTTCGAAAATCAATTTTATTTTTTCCTGTCGTTACTTTTTAGAAAATCAAAAAACTAATTGCACATTTTCATAGCCACTTTATTAGGGCTATCTGACGGTATTTTTAGATTTTCAAATTAGCTGATAATTTGTGAGATACAGAGGCCGAATTATTTTTTTTAAATACGGACCTGCATTTTTTATTTCAGTTTTTGAAAGAACTCGGTCTTCTGAGTACAATGATATGCCACACTTTATGCTTTTTTTGTTTCGAACATTTGAACACAATTTATTTAAACTAATTTCAGGCCCGGCTCTGTTTTTTTTTTAAATATTTAATCTATACATCGTTACAATATTGATAAGATTTTCAAACTTAACAATGACGTGGGGTAAAACATTGAATACGGAAAATCAAATGCAATAAAAAATTTAAAAAAATCCAAATCAAATCCAATTAATATTTTTCAACATTTATAATAAAGAGTACGAAATGTATTCGGAAGTATAAGAAGATATGTTCAAAGATTTACAAATAAAACTGAACGAATAATAGATTTGTGCAATAGGAAGGGTGGTAACCCTTTCAAACATGTAGAGCATTAAACAGTAGTTTGCAGAAGTTGATTTATTTATAATAATTACGATTAATATTATGCATATTATTAGATGGTACACTGAGATGTTAAATTCACAATAAAAAAAGTTAAAGATAATATCTTTAAATTGCTCACCTGGATATTATTTATTCAAATCTTTCAATTGGCTCGATTTTCCTTATTCAATGTTAATTAGCGCTGATCACGCTAACCCTTTCAAACGCTAGATTAACGCTAACCCTTTCAAACATGTAGAGCATTAAACAGTAGTTTGCAGAAGTAGATTTATTTATAATAATTACGATTAATATTATGCATATTATTAGATGGTACACTGAGATGTTAAATTCACAATAAAAAAAGTTAAAGATAATATCTTTAAATTGCTCACCTGGATATTATTTATTCAAATCTTTCAATTTGCTCGATTTTCCTTATTCAATGTTAATTAGCGCTGATCAATATTGGTGCAATGAATATAATCAGATTAAATAATTAAAAAAAAACAGAGTCGGATTTGAAATTATTTTAAATAATAATTAAATAGTTTTGTTGTTGTTAGGTACTCAAAACAAAAAAAAAGTATAAAGTGTGGCACATCGTTGTACTCAGAAAACCGAGTTCTTTTAAAATCTGAAATAAAAAATGCAGGTCCGTACTTAAAAAAATAAAGTTGGCCTCTGTATCTCACAAATTATCAGCTAATTTGGAAATATAAAAATACTATCAGATAGCCCTAATAAAGTGGCTATGAGAATATGCAATTAGTTTTTTGATTTCTGAAAAAATAGAACTGATTTTCAAAAAAAATCCGTTTTTTCCAAAAAACTCAGCAATCCTTGAGATTTTTAAAAAATTTTTGATAGCGCCTTGGTGAATATCTCAAGACGCAACTTTCCTTCAATTTAACCATCTTCTTATCTATTACGGTTTTTGAGATTCCAATGCTCGTACCTCGAATTTGTAGTACCCTGTATAATTAATATATGTAACATATACTAATGAACATAACATAGTGATTATGTATTGATTGTTTTCAAATAAAATATTAATACTAAAAACAAAAAATTTAATTATTAGTTTTAATAAAATTACATGATATTTTAACATACCAATGATATTTTTATTTCTGAACATGTGATTGAAAAGAATCAATTTTGTATACAATATTTTTTATTATTAAAAATTAATAATATTCATTAACACAACTGTGTTTGTTATTAATTAGTATTAAAACAATGTATTCGCCTAAACAGTATATTGTTTTATTAGGAGTAAAAATGACATTTTTTTGGCGAGGCTGTACGTTTGACTTACGACATACAGCCAAGGCACAAAAAGTCATTTTTACTCCGAATAGAACATGCTGTTTTTTTCAAACGCCACAAGTAATTTTTTAAACAATTTCAAACGTTTCAAATAATATAAAAAGATTTAAAAGTCATACCTTGTATGTAATTATTATATATCGAGAAACTATGGTTACGCTCGTTCAGTTTGACACTTTATGTCAGTTTAATAATATATTTTTATGCCTAGGCGTTAAAATAACTTTTTTATATTGTCAAAAATCATGTCGCAAAAATTAATACTTTTGTGACGTTTGAAAAAATAGTTCTTTATTTATTTTAATGCGTGCATATTTAACTAATATTATTTTTTAGTAAAAATATTTAATAGCTTAGTATTATCTACAGATTAAATGATAAGTAGTAGGTAATTTAAATGTTTAATTTACATTTCATCATATCTTTTATGAAGTAACAGTCTGTTTGATACAGAATTTAGAATATAACTCAATCCTAAACTTTATTAACTAAAGATTGTATATTGTATATGTATGAAAATTTCGCGATGTTAATATATTTAAAAGAAAAAATTATTTAAGTATATTTTAGAAGATATTGAAAGCATACATGTTTCTTTAAGTTGTGGGAGTTCTGGATATTTGAATATACCGGGCGGCGTCTGAAAACTGGCTCACCCTTATAACTTTTTTATTTTTTTCAGAGAAAAAAAAAACGAGATTTGGTATGTTAGTATATGACATAAATTAGAATTGATTATTCAATTATTTTTGGTCACTTCCTGTTTCACCGGAAATGACTACAATTCTTAAATTTTAAATGGCACCCTCGGTATTTTTTTACTTTATTCAATAGAAAATGACATTCTGAATAGAATGACATATCATATGTTAACTTTTGACATTCTCGCTTAAAACAAAATTCAATTTTAAAATTCAATCTAGAGCGACATATTATTATGTTAAAAACACTAATTCTTAATCAAGGAGCCTCGGAAAAATAGATTTGATTGCCTAGTATTTTATGTGTCTTGTCCTGGCCAGTTAGAAAATGCTCAAATCGTATTTTTAATCATATATCTCAATTTTCTCAAATGGAACGAGGGTGGTTCATTAGCATATTTGGGAAAAAGCATTTTTTACGAATAATTTGGTATTACACACTTGGTATTTGGAGTCAAATTTTTGTTACGAACCGCATTTTATAATTTCAAATAAACCATATGCGAAAATGTCAAAAGTTGACGTATGATATATCATTCTATTCAGAGTGTTATTTTCTATCGAATAAAGTAAAAAGTACCGAGGGTGTCATTTAAAAATCAAAAGTTGTAGTAATTTCCGGTGAAATAGGAAGTGTATAAAAATCTGACTTAATTGCCACACCCAAAATTCGAAATACACGTGCGTTGATTAAGGCTTGATTAAGGTTTGTAGAGTTTCAGCATTTGACTTGTGTCTAGCACCAGCAGGCAACTATTCAGCCCGACCAATCACGTTAGAGTTTTTGACAAACACAAATGAATTAACACCCTCCAAATAACCACGCTAACCAACCTGATTGATCAAGCTTAATAGTTGCCTGCTGGGGCTAGACACTTCTTAGCATTTGCCATAAAATAACGAGCAAATTGTTACAAAATCATATAAATTATATATCACTGTAATCGCAAAACTTCAATCTATTTCAGGGATTGTAACGGAATTTTAAATTATGTCATTATTTTCGAGAAAATTTAGTCCAAATATAAGAAATATTTTGCTGATGTTTGAGCCATCAAAATCATAAAAATAAAGAAGTTGTCTAAAAATGTGCTACAATACGGATATAGTATAATCCTTTATCTTTAATTTCCTTTTTCATTTGTGTAAAAATACTTAGCCAGTTTTACATAAAATGCCGAACGCTTATTTTGCCATTTTTTCGGATTAGTGAAATGGATTCTTAAATTTTAAGTTAGCTTTCCCTGACTTAGGCCCTTAAAATGTAATGTCCTTAATTTAAATTTATTTAAATCAAAAAAAGACTTAAATTTTCTGTGAAGTTGTAGCTCTGTGTGATAGATTCATTAAAATGACTAAAAATTCAATTAAAAACATCTGCTATAACATCAATTTTTTCGCAAAACCTCTATTATTAATTGACAAAAGTTTCAAAACTACCGGTATTAAAATACTTATCACTTCGTACCTGGAAAAGTCGATCAAGGAATAAAAATGTCAATAATAAATCTTTCATTTAGACAGATAAAATGTTTTTAAATAAAACTGCACCAAAAAATTGGCGCTTATGGATTGATAGGATTTGCTATGTTAGGAAATTTAGTACAGTTAAGGACAAGGCCAGTGCAGAAACTTGTAATTAAATATACCCGTAATTTGTGCCATAACGATATAGAAGCTATTTAAGTTGGCTCTTTCAGGTCCAAGACTGATAACGCCGATAGAGGAAGCAAGGAGGTTCATGACCGATTGCTTTCTAGCTGTTGGTACTCCAAAAGAACATGCAGAAATTGTTTCTGAAAATCTGTTTGAGGCAGATTATAGAGGACACTACAGCCATGGCATGAACAGACTCGGTAAGTGGGCAAACATCAGTTTATTTCTTTATTTTTTAGAACACATACAGTGCAAATTTATAGGAATCTGTAATAACTAGGTCCGGTATTTTTTACACAAAAATGATCTACAATTAGATTTATTGATTAATTTTTTCAACTTTAGCGGTCTTTCCCAAAAGTTTTTGAAAAGTTTAAATTTTCGCCAAATGTAATCCTACATTATCATTTTTTATTTTATTAATGAGAAGGTTTTCGGTAGCTAACAAATCTCTAGAATTGCCGGAAAATTCCCCAGGACAGAGGCAGACGAATCAATTCATAGTATCGTATGAAATAATAAAAAATGGTGTCAAAGACGGCTGGGGAATGATATTTTAGGCGAGTCTTTTACTAAAAATTGACATAAAACTTGTCAAAAATTAACACAAATTATAGAAGAATTAAAAAAGGATAAAACGTTTCCAGACACACTAATCTATTTTCAAAAAAAATATTTTTTTTCGCGAATTTCAAACTACACCATTTAAAATAATTTGAACTCGAGATAACAATGAATTTACAACCTTCTGATACAACATACAACTCGATATAGCAATGAAAGGCCAACTGAACGGAATATACCTCAGTGCGGAACTCCAATGACCAAATGCTGCGTCTTTTCTGTGTTACTCTATGGATGTGAGAGTTGGACACTGGATTCACAGACCGAAAAGAGAATAGAAGCCTTCGAAATGTATGTATACAGACGGATGCTGCGAATCTCATGGGTACAAAGGATCACCAACGATGAAGTACTCCAGCGCATGCAGAAACAGAGATACTGAACACCATTAAGGAAAGAAAAATGCAATACCTGGTTCATGTGATGAGAGGTGGTAGATACGAAATACTGCGTCTCATAATAGAGGGCAAAGTGCAAGGGAAAAGATCAGTAGGAAGACTCCAGAATTCATGGCTAAAAGCAAAGATAATTCTACTACGAATAGATAACCCACGTAAATGGGACGGCTGGAACCGGCCAAAAGACATCAATGCACACGTAAACTTTAATATTTCGTGCGGAAACCCTCGTGAACGAGACGCGGCGTTGCCAATAACTGTATTGTAGAAGACATCTATTTAGTTAGAAAATTTAGCATATATCTTTAGAATTTTTTTGGAAATTTGATACAACTTGAAATAAAAAAAACTAAAACTAAACATATTTGAATAGATAACACTCATTTTTACAAAAAGCTATATAACAACATTTGACAATCAAAGAAACAAAATAAAAATTTGTCGAGTCAAATCTAAAAATTAGTTAAATGAAAAGAAGTTTTAAATATATTGACTTATAGAGGAGAAAAAAAATTATGTATTTATAATTTTGATATTTATAGTATATACAGAGTGTCCCATTTTCGTGTGTTCATGGTTTCTCATTTATGAGTAGAGGTACAAAGATGAGGTTTTCACTATTTAGTATTTTATTATTTATTCGTTTGATTTGCCTTTCTATGAGATTTCTAAAAATATAATTAAGGTAATCTATATTTATTTTTATAAATAAGGTAAAAAATGCATTATATTTAACTTTTTCACATACCTACGCGGCTTGTTTGAATTGCGTAATCAACACAATCGAATAATTTATTCGACTTCAAATTTTAGATGTTGGTTATTCCACGCTTCTGTGTGTAAAATTATTGCACAAGTGCATCAACAATTTCTATAACTCTGATTGACAGCCGTGTTATGTAAAAATTAGACAAGTTCATTTTCAGTGCAGTTTATTAAGATAACACCGTGGAAAGCTTAATTATCTGATTAAATAAAATAAAATAAAATAATAATACTCTTTTAAACAAGTTAATTTATGTTAAAAAGTTAAAAAATGAATTTTTTACTTTGTGACAAATAAGTATATTATATTTGTAGAAAGCTCATAACATGGCAAATAAAACAAAAAGAATATACAGGGTGTCCCTTTAAAAACTACCGAACTTGAAACAAATTACATATTAACATTGGTTTATAATTTTTTCGAATTTCGATAAAACTGTTAAAAGAAAGAACATGTGTGATACATTTAATTTTTATAACAGAATAAAAAGGTACTAAGTATACAGGGTGTTTCAAAAAACATGTGCCATCTCTTGTGGGGAGATTCCTCACATAAAAATAAGACTTATTTTTCGTATCAACATAGGTCCGATTCTGCTTTGTTTCGTAGCTACTGGGTGTTAAAATCTTAATAATCTTTCGATTTATTATAATTTTCTTCCAAGTACTTTTAGTGATTTGAATTAAATTTTTGGGGTAAAAGTTACTATAAGGGTTACATATTTTAATGCTAAAAAAGCGTCAATAAATTCATCAGGGACGTGCAAAAAAACATGTGCGCCTCTGACTTTTTTTTGATATCAAAACTGTGTAGGCCATTTAATGCCAATTAAAAGGCATCTCTTGGTATTTTGTCCAATTCGGCCTCCTTAATAAGATAAACGCAATTTTATTAATCACAATAATTAATAAAATTAAAATAAAAATAAAAAAGTAATAAATTATATCTGTACCTAATTTATTATTAAATATTATTACTATGTCATTATTCTACTAGTAATAATACATAAAACTAATCCAACATACCTACAACAATTTCAAATAAAAAAATATTGGTTATTAAGATAACAACAAAAAACCTAATTTTAAAAAAATTTAACATACTGTAACTCTAAAACTATGCATTTCCATACCCATGTTTATAGGAACTTTTTTTCATATTTTTTGATGAGGATATCGTTTTGCGTTTATCTCATCAAGGAGGCCGAAATCGACAAAATATCAAGAGACAACTTTTAATCGGCATTAAACTACTTACACTATTTCGCTAACAAGAGAAAAAAAAGTCAGTGGCGTACATGATTTTTTAAGAAAATATTCCAGTGATAACCCATATGCACGTCCCTGGTGAATGTGTCTTTTTTGGCTTTAAAATATGTCCCATTTATAGTAAATTTTACCCTGAAAATTTCATTCAAACCGCCAAAAAGTACATGGAAAGAAATAATATAAGAAAATTATAATAAATCGAAAAAATATTAAGACTTTAACACCCTGTAGCTACGAAACAAAGCGGAATTGGACCTATGTTGATATGAAAAATTAATCTTGTTTTTACTTGAGAAGTCTCCCCACGAGAGATGGCACATGTTTTTTGAAACACTCTGTATAAATACACTTTAAACATACTGGGTGTCCCATTTAAAAAAAAATAGTTCATACCAATAACATGACATTTGGCAACTTATGACATTATTGATTATAATAAACAATAAAACTTGACTAAAGACCCTAAAATTTGTTTTTCAATGAATGTTCTATACTAAAATAGAAAAGTTATAGCCTGGCAAAAATGGCACAAAATAAAATGCTAATACTGTAGATTGTTTACATCAGACAACAACTAACTACCGGTTAAGTTAGGTATCTATAAACGAAATCTACAATTATTCTAAAATTTATGTTAACAAATTAAATAATTTTATTTTACTAAACAAATCACAAATAAGACAATCTAATTTTTCATAATAAACAAGCGTTGGCGGTAACAGTGTAAATAGTAAAAAGGGGAATTTTTTGCAACAAGTAACTAAAATCAATTTTTTTGGGATGAATTGTTTCGCATCCCCAGATGAGGCGGATCTAGATTGTAAAGCAGAACCATTACAAAAAAGCCCTAAAATATCTCATTAACGGGCTCAAATGAACTAGTAAAATTGTTATTTCTGTAGGGTAGATATGCTAAAATTCTACTTATTTTTTAAACTTTTTGGTTTTTGTTTGTAATTTTTTTAATTTCTTCCCATTTGCAAAATTTGAAAATATTAGTAATAATTAAATAATTCATTAAAAAAAGTTTGTGTGGGTAGCATGTTTTTTCCTTACTACCTAACGAAATCTCACTTTTCGCAATAATTTTGCTTTTTATTTTAAGACCTAAATATTCTTGTTCTTTATATTCATTAAAATATTTTTTCGACAAAATAAACATCTTTTGGACTAAGTCCGAAATTTCTGTACATGGCACAATTAGGAAAAGTCTGTCCACCTCATAATTTTTCTTCAGTAAAAAGTTTTTTTTGGATCAAGTTGATGAGCAATAAGGTCTTGGTTGTGAAATTTCGAACTGCACTCTAAACAATTAAACTTATTTTGTATTTTTTTAGAAGATATCCAGCATAATATTCAGTCACGCCTCTGCTTACCCGAATTTAAAATCCAACGTTCGCATATACTTTGATTTTTATAAGGGAACCTAAACATTTTTAAATAAGGATTGTCCCTCCTTGATAGTCTACAATTGTAATATTGACATACATTGTCCGACATATTTTTAAAATACGAAAACTTAAATCAAAATATAATAATTCAAAATAATAAAGCAAAATTCACAATTCAAAATATAAAAAATGAGCACACCACGAAGCCTTCACAACGAGGTGCGGGGGAATACGGAAGGCTTTGATGATCGACGTCGGGCCGCCGCGTGTGCCGGTAGCATTTGGCGTACGATTTGGCAACATAGACAAGGAAGGAATCGCTTTTTAACGTTGCGGCGCGGCGTTGGATTCCGGCTCAAAAAGCCGGGTTCCTTTTTGGTTCCAAAAATTTTACACGGGATGGGTTTTCTATTGTGTTAACTATACTATTCTTTGCTAAAAGATTTGAGGAGATGGTTGAACGCTCGTCTGCGGAAATCTTCCGGGCTGCAGTTTCCAGAGCCACAATTGCCATTTGGATTGCCAACCTTCGACAGGAGAGGGCGTGATAAGAAGAAGAAGGCCAACTGGCAGTAAGCACCATTAAAAGAGTTACGTAAGTAATGACGTCTACGTCTTGACCTCGCCAAAATTGTCATCAGTTCTCATTCCTCGGCTTTCTTTGACGCCGTTTTTTTCGATTGTATGGTAGAATGTGAAAAAAACTGTGAAAACTGTAAGCTGATGGGGATTGACAGACGAAGTCATGTGCGG